ATTAGTAATACTACACTTAAACGTTTAGGTCGACATAAACGGAATGATTGGAAGGCTCTCATACAAGGACATGCAAGTGCTACGAACCACTATTGAGGGATACATGAAGAATTTTTACGAGAACAATGCGAAGACAATGATTCCTGTTATTGGTACACCACCGCCTCCGAAGAGTACGGTACCATTTTTCGGCTCTATCAATTTTTGTATTTTTCTTTTCCCATAGTTTACGTTGACCACGAAAAAGATCTTTTTTAATGTTCACATCTTCATAGCCTTTTCACTTTTGCGATTATCTCTTTTTGGTCATAACGGATCGTTCTCTTTTTTCAAATTTTCTTTCGGTTTATATTTGAAAAACATTTATTCCATGCTGCCAATAAATTTCTCTCTCAGCTTGTTATTGCTCTGGCTTTTAAAGAAAAACAGTTTTGAATGTAGATAATTATTTTGTAGAGATCGAGATTGGAAGAATCCTGATCAAAACTGAGAGAGCCGATCTATGGCTGCTAGATGACTTCCAAGGCAAATCAATCCCGTTACTCAGGTTGTCTTTGTCGAGTGAGTCAACTTTTCCGCAACCTCTTCTTTTCGCTTTCAACGATATTGTCATTCACTCTAAAGATGTGTCCATCGATCGACAGTCAGAAGATCGCCTAGTGTCGAGTTTTGCATTATCCGCTGACTACTTCAATCAACGAGTTTTTGGATGGGAACCAATGTTGGAGAAATGGTCGGTGCTCCGATTTTTGATGTCAAAGAAGGATAACACTCATAACGTGGATCTAGTTGCGGGTAAGGCTGGTATCACACAATGTATTATTTTGGTGTTTCGTGACAACTATCAAAGCTCTCCCCAATTCTTCTTTATATGGCTATACAGTATCATGTACGAATCATTTTCAATGTCATAATACAATCATGCGTATCATTCAAAGAATTAACTGTTCTCGTTTCTCGTCAAACGTCCCCTTATCGAAATTTGTGTTTTTTTTTTCAATCTCCTATGGTCTAATTTATACATTTTCCTTGCA